TTCGAGTACCATGGTGTCTGAATAATAATACGTATAATAGATCACTGTGTTTTATATGCGTGTTAAGAGTATTTACGTATAATTTTATGAACTATCGGAGAAAATAATCAAGTTTGGAACAGTGATCTTCCGTATTAAGATAGGTCGTAAAACGTATCCTTCGCAAATATGGGTGTTATACTATGCCAGCATGTGCCATTAAGCTCGAAATGGGACTATGAAACGCCACGTGTGGACGATTATGTTGTGGGATTATTACAATATTTTACGACACTAATAATCTATATAATAACCATCGATAATTAATTAAGACTAAAAAATTCAGTTTAAACTAAAGGAAATTCTAAATCGAAAAAGAATCTCTCCAAGTTTCTTCTATTCGCAAGAAGCTACTAAATTTTCTAGCGTTCCAAAACACTCGCTGCAATGAACGAAAGAAACATTTTACCCCCTATCCACGACCTGAAGATCCATATCGAATAATCAATACCGACGACCACCATGAGCGAGAAAGGCTACAGCCCCTCTGACATAGGGACCTCCTATAGGGACATCAAAACGGAAAATACTGCTATCATACCGGTATCGTACCGGTAAATAGTTTTCAAGTGGAAATCGAGAAAAGTTAACCTTTACTTTGGTACAAGTTATTTCAGAATAAGATGACAAAGAGGGAAGCATAAATACAGGAAAATCGGTTCGAAGAATGTATCGGTATTGGTATTTCAGTGATAATTGATTTCGCTATTATAGTAGGTCTCTACGTTATCGGAATTGCATCGGTATTTATTTCAATTTTTGGTAATATACCGATTTCGATACTATACTGGTACTGGAATTTCGATGGCAGTCGATGTCGATAATATATCGGTTTCGATGTACTATACTGGTCCTGGAATTTCGGTGATAGTCGATTTCGACGATAGTCAGATTCGGTGACAATCGGTTTCGATATTATACCGATACCGATGTTTCGGTGATTGTCAATTTTGGGAATAAACGGTTCCGATACTACACTGGTCCTGGAATTTCGGTGATAGTCGATTTCGACGATAGTCAGATTCGGTGACAATCGGTTTCGATACTATACCGATACCGATGTTTCGGTGATTGCCAATTTTGGGAATAATGGGTTCCGATATTTTACCGGTACTGAAACTTCGGTGGTAGCCGATTTCGATGGTATAAAGGTACCAATATTTCGGCGACGGCTGATATCGGTATCATAGTAACATCGGTACGAAAATTATACCGATATTAAACCCATACTCCAGCATCGTAATCCTTCTTTGTACGACAGGTTTTAGCCTAACCCTTGCCCCGTGAAAGGTGGAAAGTAGCACCTTGGCCCTGTTCGTCCCGCCACGTCCCAGTTCCACGTCAGTGGCGCGGCTCGTCCTGCCACGCGAGGCGTCGCGACGCTTCGCGGCGTGCGCCGACGGCGGACGTCGCCGCGTCGCCTGAACTGGTAGCCAGGCAACGCGTATAATATGACCAGCGTAATAGTTTGGAACGAAACGGTCGCGGGAGCGGATCGGGTTCCTCGGCCATCGCTTTTCCCCGTATTTTTTTTTCTTTTTTTATTCCGCGTTTCCTACGTCGACGAGACGACGAGACGCTCGATGGAGAACGGAAGTGGCACGCGACAGCACCGAAGGAAGTCGAGAGAACGCTCGTACGTACACGCCGTCCACGCTTTATGCCGCGTTTCCATCGAACCAGACGTGTTCCTACGCTGTCGATCGAACACCATAGGTGCCTATCTCTTTTCGCGAACGAAAAGCCTGGAAAACGCAAGTGGCTTTGTGGTTCGTCTGTCGCGGAGGATTTAAGGGTTGGTCGGGGTTAATCCGTTAATTCGTTAATCGGCGACGGCGGAAGTGTAAGTCTGATCCTTTATGATGCAATAAGACAGCGAAAAATGGGGAAACAAAGGTTTGCAGATGTACATTTTCTTTCATCCTATCGAAAATAAAGACAGTTATTTTCGCAACGAGTCAAAGTGAAAATTAAATTAAATTGACAATTTTCTTTGCCGAACCAGGCATATCAGTCTCCCATCCTGAGTTCTCGGTAAAAATTTGATTTGGTAAATTTCTCGATAAATTCAGGTCCGGGGAATTATGTTTCACGGTTTGGGGGAGGGTAATCGACGAAGGGAGGGAAAACGCGTGCCTGATCGAACCGATTACTTCTTCGACACACGATGTTGCTTAACCGTAGGTGTAACGAGTTCAAATACGACGCGGTCGTGTGGGTTTCGATTTATCGAGTAGGTCGACGAGTTATGTAAAGTCGTTTGAACAGGCTGTCCCCGCAGTATTCTTAACCCGATGCATTTTTAACGCAGTTGCACAGCCCGTTGGAAATTCGGGCTTTCCGCGTCGGTGTGAACCGGGCTTTACGCGCGGAGATACGAAATGACGAAGCACGTTCGGCGACAGATATAGCGGAATACTAATTATACCGATTGTTCCTGACGATTTGATTGCGGCCGATTGATCGTCGGGGAAGCACCGTACACGTGTGTTACGAAGTTTCTGCACGTAACCGCATTATCGATCCTCGTTCTGGATTTAAAGAAAGGTAAATTCAGCCAGGAAACGAGGATACTGGGTAAATTCATACCTTCGAAGCTTCCTCGCGCGCTTTCACATCGTGATTGGAAAATATATAAATATATAAATAATATCTATGTTTGGTGACGTTTGTGTCTGCGTGTACGTCGAGTTTGTCAGCTTTTCATTCGATATGAGAAAAGAGAGGTGGCCAACTTTCACAGAAAGCTGAAAGTTTCTCGAATCGAGTAGGCTCGGCATAAATCGATCGCATGCTCGCGAAGGACGAAACAAATGGCGCAAGAACTATAAAGAAGCTCCGTTTGCTCGAATATTTTATCTCGCATCGCGTGCACCGGCCATTTTTTCTCGATTCCGTGGAGAAATGCGAAAGGCGTCACTACCCCTGCCGGATATTCGATATCGTCGTCGGGAGCAGAATTTTCCTCTGGATTATTAACTAACCGTTGTTTCGAGAATAATCGAGAGCGTGTAAGCAAGCTTTCGAGGGAAACGGGATATTCTAAAGGAAATTAAGGAGCGTGGGTTGAATTAAAATTGTCGAAGAAGCGAATGAAAAATTCGCAGTGGCACGAGATCTCGATAAACACGGCACGCCGTTGGCTATTTTAATACCGTGTCAAGGAGTTAATTATGCATGCTCGTATTCAAGATCGAGCTTCGTTTTCCATTGGAAGAACGCGAGTCTATGAAAACTGGGACGTATTTTAATTCCCACGTGAAATTCCTCGCGTTTGATCCGAGCCTTGCATTCGAGTCGATACTAATTTCTCCCATCGCGATCACGCTTCTTCCACCAATTCCAGTCCATTAACGTTCATCCAGGCAATTTCCGTCGATAAAAAATTCCTTCTTCGCCGATCGGATCAGAAAACAAACTTTGATTCCTGTTAATAGCTCGCTGGATACGTGCAATTTTATTTTATTTGCATGCTCGTTCCTCCGAAGTGATAATTTTCGCCGATTTTTCTTTAATAAAATGTAATTCGCCGATCTAAAGTTTTAATACGTTCATTGATCCTCCTACGTTAACGATTTCAATCGTAGCTGCGTATTTTTAAACGTCAGTGAAATATCGAACAACGAAGATCGGCGACGAGTCAAATATTTCTTTCAAAAAACGCGTCGAAATTATGCGAAATCGATGCTTCTCGCGCGACTTCTCGGCTTAAATCGTATTTCTGGCACAGTGCCTGCCTCCATCATCTTCTTCCCTTGAAATATCGAACTGCAGGGGTGTATCTGTCCATCAAACTTCTGGGAAAATTATCTTCCATCGACAGCTCGTTAATATTTCATTCGCTTGTTCACGAACGAGGAACCGAAATCGTTTGATAACGATTTCATGCCGATATTTGCATCATCGATGAGACTGATTTTCGCTGATTAGCAGGAAGAGAGTTCGAATCGAAAACCGGAATGAATCGCATCCAAACCTAATTCTAGATGCGTTCATAAAGCGTTCATTCATGATCAGAGTTGCACGATTTTCACTCTGAAATTTCCTTTGCCTCTTGCTGATTTACTCCCGAAACGTACATCGAGTTCTAAGGATCTTTCGAGCATTTTTAATTACCCACGCTCGTTACTCGTTACCCAATTTTTGCGCCGTGGAGAATCATTTTTATCGCAAATTATTTCACCGATTTATTCCTTCCTCAAAAATATTTTCCAATGCATATTTTCACTTCCAATCCCTACGACGCGAGAAATTCCTTTTATCGCGAATTTCCTCCGGCAATTTATTCCTTTTCTAAAAATATTTTCCAATGCAGATATCCAGCGCCAATTTTTACGCCGTCAGAAATTCCTTTCATCGCGAATTTTCCCCAATTTATTCTCTTTTCAAAAATATTTTCCAATGCAGACATTCACTTCCAATTCCCGCGATGTCGGCAATTCTTTTCCATTGCTGTGTCGTTTTTTGAAGATATTTTCCAGCCCGAATATTCACCCTAACTCCTATATTACCAGAGATTCCATCCACCGCGAATTTTCTCGATCGATCGATTCCTCTTTCAAAAATGCTTTCGCTGTTGATTTTCACGGGTACGTGGTAACGTTCGATCGCGAATATTCGATGTCGCTATTTTTCCTAGTGGCGAATATTTGGGCACAGGCGGTTAAACCTCGGCATAAAAGAAAGCAGCTTATTCTCATCCGCGCTACCGCGTATACGGTCAAATATCGCGAAGGAACGCGGACCAACAGGTTGGAAGTGGACGCGAGGACAGGGGATCAAAGGCTAAAAAAGGATGAATTAAAATTGCGCAGGTAGAGCCCGTGGTATGCGAGAAAAACGAGCATCTTGATCGAGGAAACCCAGGAGGATCGAAGGCCGGATAATTCGATGCAAATGCACCGGGAAGGCAAGCAGAGGACGGTACCAACCTCGAATATACCGTGACTGGGACGAACGAAAATGTCCTATGCCTCGGAACCACGATGAAAAGGTAAGGGTTGGCTTTTAGCCGGGATTCCCGCAAAGGGCGTGATCAATAAGCCTCGACACCGTTTCCAAAAGGTCTCTCTGTTTCTTTCTCCGTTCTCTAACACTACAACTACCGAGCTGCAGTGTGCTCCTACATATGCACCTAAATCTATTATATACATAATAATTCTATCACATTTCTATGTATAATCGAATAAAAATTGAACAAATTTTCTGCTCGATATGAGTAATCCCGATACATTTGAGCAGCTTTTCGAAAGAAAGAAATTATCAGCGAACTTATTCTCCAATTTATATACGCAGTGCGATATCGCGGATAATTCGAAAAATAAGTTCCAAGTCGTTACGATCAGCTTAGCAGCTCTAGCATCGATCCCTGGTATCTTACGAACTTCCTTACCATCTATTCATTTATTACCAACGATGCATCTCGAATAAAATTTACGACACTCTCACCTCCGAATTTTGAACTCGAGACAGAGTAGGTCGAAAAAATCCTTTCACCTAGTAGAATTCTTTTTATCGCGAAGAAGCGATATTTTATCGTAAGAATCTTGTTTATCGCGCACGGAATAGATGTAGAGAGCCTCGAAGACCACGAGGCTTCGTGGAAAAGCGTGGGACGGGAATTTCCTGCCGATTTTCCTTCAAGGAAGTTCCAAAGATCGCAGGATCCCGTTGTAAACGGATCGCAAAGTGCTCGGATACGAATGCGATGGACGCCGAGCTCATTTACGAGCTAAGGTTTATCGACGACATTGGAACAGGTTTCTCGAGTCGCCGCGTTCCAAAACGTGGAAAATCAGGCGCGAAACAGCAAAGAGATGGCCGGAAAAGCCACGAGTGTGGTGAAACCGCGTCAGAAAACGAACGTTTCAGCTCGAGGTATCGACGAACGATGACGATACTGGCCGCGCTCGAGGCCTCTTCCACGAGCAAACGTAATGGCACGGGCGTGTACGAGGACGTGGCTATTTTACCGGGATACAATGTCACCACGACGGCGAGCGGCGCGGCCAGCAAGACGAGTCACTTCGAGACCGATTTGCATGGGAATGTTAACATCCTTCTCGGCGGGTGAGTAGCCGGCTTTCGATATGCGATATTCGATATCGACCAATCGCTCCGATCGGCCATGCACGATCCCGTGAACCGACTTTCAGGCACTTTCTAGCCAGGAGCCACCTGGCTAGGATCTCTACACGTGGCTCCGATTTATCCCATTGCTTCCCAGGGACAATTTTGTTATTTATATAGAGATTGGACGGTGGTAAATGGTAACAATGATATAAATAAAGTTACGAATGCTTACAGCAACGCTTAACGCAGTATTACTATATTACAACTCTGTTCGACTTCGACTCTTAACTTTACAACTATTATTTACTCTATTAATTAAATTTATTATTCATACATCGTTATTATTAATTCGATTTAGACTTTAACTCAATATTAACTGTCCTCTAATTGGTCCTGGCTTACTTTATATCCCCCCCCCCCCATGCACACGCTTTCCAATGTTTCCCTTAATATGAATAAATAAATGAAGGGTTCAGAACCTATTGAACTGCCATAGCCATTTTAATTTGTATGGGTTTTTGATTAAAATTTTTAATTGTATTCACATTTTCGACTAATATCATGGTGAGCTAATGATTTTGCATAAATAAAAGGATGAGAACCTATTGAATTGCTATAGCCATTTCAATTTGTATAGGTTTTCGATTAAAATTTTTAATTGTATTTAAATCATGCTAGGGATCTGACATGTCACCAAGGTTTTCCTGACTGACCTGGGTTTTGCACCTTCGATCCTCATTCTCACGGTAGCCTTCGTAAAGCTACGTGTACATGGTGGAAAATCTGCCATATTGCATTTATTTAATTTATTTTTCTATTTATATATTTATCGGTAAAACTTCGTCCCGAGAGACCAAAAGATCAACGAAATCCTACTTTATTATGGGAAATTAAAATTTTGGAATTAACCGTATCAGAAGCCTCCGGTACATGCAAGGTTAGTTCAAATAAAGGAATTAGGAAGAACTTATTCGGATGCGTGCATTGTAATACAGCAATTACAGAAAATACGGTTCAAATGTTTCTATGGTGTAGCAGGGTGTATTTATTTGAGTTTACTTGGTTTCCTTTTCACGGTGTCATACGGGAAATATTCGAAAAATTTTTCGATCCTGGAATATCTCCGTGGAACGATCGCGTGTATTTATTTCGAACGTTTCCCGTGTAATCGCGGGGAATCTGGATTAGATATTTTTCTATTAATCGCGGTGGATACATCTCGGGTATTTTCCTGCGGAATTACGGAGAACTCGTCTCGATATTTCCCTATGAAATCGCGGCGAATTTTTATCGAATATTGTCCCGCGAAATCGCGACGTATTTGCATTTATCGAACCTTCTTCCGGCGTAACTAGGGAAATTATAATATAAATATCGTAGAAATTTCCTGTCGCATGTTTTTCCGCGAAACGACATATCCTTCGACTAATCGGACCATTTATATATCCATTGGTTGCTATTAATAGTAACACGTTTCAAGAGTCGCTCCAGGTATTTGTATTTTCAACAGCTCTCATTAGCCGATCGATCGTCACGTAACAGCCAACCATGTAAATACGGTTTATTTAAATTTTAAATAACATTCGTGCGTTAGCGGGAGGGGATTTAAAAATGGCGGATCTGGGTTGCCGGTGAGATTTGCATAGTTTTCCGATTTTTAAATCGCTACCGACATTAATCACCCTGCAGCGTCACCTCGCTTAATTAAAGCTCACGGAACTTTCTTCTGGCCACTTCCCGACAGGCTAAAGAAAAGATAACATCCGGCAAGAATGGCCTAGTCTCCTTTCTATGTCATAGACCGTATTTACCGAATAAACCACTAGATCAGTGTTTCTCAAACTACATTAGCATAAGCAGCGAAACTTCACGAGCTTCCGCGATTTTTCACCGACCGCGCGTACGAAAGTTACTGCTGGAAATAAATAAATAAACGAAACAGCAGGTACACCGAACTTTCGCGTAAAATGTATCACGCGAAACTTTTATCCGATGTCAAACGCGACGACGTACGTAAGTTTGCGCCTCGAAAACTTGGCAGGAGAAGGGACTTCTGGAAATTCAGTTTCCGCGAAATTCGTACGTAAGATTCCCGATTTCATTTTCGAATAGTTTCCATCGATTCGATCTTCGATCACTGGAAATCCGATTATAGAGGAATTCCCTGGAAAGAGGAAGAATTCACGCAGGCTGGAAACAAATTCCGCGATTCCGAGAAAAATTCCAGATTCTGTTTTCGGATGATCGAAATGTCAATTATACGAAAATTCTCGAAAGGAGAGAACATTTCATGGGGCCTCGAAACGACACTGAGACTCGATGAATCGTGACGCAAATCCGACGAATGAAAATAAATACCGCGATTCTGGACAAATTTTTTATTCCATTGTTAAATAATTTTGATCGATTTTATCTCCAATAACTAAAAATTCTCGCGTAGAAGAAAACATATTTTTGAACGTCGAAGCGACGCTAAAATTCGAGGAAAATTGGAAAAAATCGTGTCGCGAATCCAACGAATGGAAATAAATTCCCGAATTCATAATAAAATAATTTTGATCGATTAGATCTGCAATAATTAAAAATTCTCGCGTAGAAAAAAAAACGTTTTTGAACGCTGGAACGATAAAATTCGAGGAAAATTGGAAAAAATCGTGTCGCAAGTCCGGCGAATGGAAATAAATTCTGCGATTTTAACGAAAGAGTATACGCACGACTCGTGACTTGCAAAGAGAACGGTTTATACAGGAAGCAGGTCCGTCACCGTAATAATCACAGGAACAACTGTATTACGGTAACCATGATCCTTTAATACACGTGCTATCGTAAACACAGGCCGTCGAATTGCCACGGTGCTAAGCTCGTGGTCGCTGAAATCGTCTCGACGAACCGTGAAATCAGCCTCGTCCTTTTATCCGCGTGAAACGACGCTCAAAGGCGGATAGCGTCGCTCACAGTCGCCATTGCATTCGAGTTTCTAACTTTCAAAAGCGTTCCAGCCATTAAGGACAGTATGGGATGAGTGAAAGCGATTACTGCACTCGCAAGAACAATTTCCAGGTTTACATTAGTGGATATTAGACACACTTGCTTTCGCTGACTTGCTTTTTTATTGGTTAGGTCGATCTCGCAACGATCATAGTTTTACTCACTTTTCTAGGAGCAATCGCTTCCTTGACGCGTGCACCATGATTCGGAAGACAGTATCGATTCCCGTGGCCTATAATATACAGGGTGGATCTTTAGCTCGGTTACCATGCGCGTTTCTGTCGGTTTTTATTCGCAAAAAGCATCGAATAAAAATCGGAATCTCGCGAAAAGATGGTTAAGCTACTCAAACTCAACGGAATAAAACGATAGAGTGAAGATTCCGCAAAGCGTTTTCGAAACGGTGAACTTTACGACGTCTTTCCGCGTTTCGAGTCGCAATGGAACCAGTTAGACTGGTCGAGTCGAATGAGACACTCTGTGATATTTAAACGCAACGCATTCCAATTTTGCGTTATATCTTACAACGTTAAATCGCGACTCGCAATCGTAAATTACGCTGCTGTTCCAGCTGAACGACGCTTACGTCGGATTCGACGAACCCAAACTAACGAGCATCAGCGCCATCTACGCCGCGTAACTCGCAAATTACTTCCATCTTGTCTGCCAATCCCGATATCGTATCGCGATATTTCGTCGCTACATTTACCACCATTCCCATGTACAGCCATAATTTTCGTCTCCCCGTTCGGACGATAGTAAGGGGTTTAAGAAGTCCTAATTAATCACAGTCTCGTCTGCGAATCAGTGAGGGAAATTGGGACGATGGAGGCTTCAGACATAGTTAATTCGCGGTAACTCGGCTCGTGCTTGGTTTTAGAGGCCATAAATCGCACCTAGAACCGATAACATGGCAGACCGAGCCCCAAGATGATCTAAAGCGGTCTGAGCCATGGCGGAAAAGGTTGACGGCGCGCTAAATATACGCTCGATGGTCCCTGTTCCTCTCTCAGCTACGGCCACGCTGCTCTAACTCGAGTCACGGACTCTGTTTCCTTGCAGGGCGATGCTCAGCGGCGTGATTATAGTCGTCTTCTTGATGTGCTACTGCTGTCACAAGAGCATCCGGAAGAACCGACCGCAAGAGTACCCGCAGTACTGGAGGACGGAACCGGACGTGCATAGCCTCGAGGTCTTCACCACGGAAGCGCACGCCGCTGTGAGTGATATCGCCGATCGCGTGAAATTAGTCACGCGATGATTCGTGTCGCGTTGATTAGCTAGCTATGGTAATCGTAGCGGCGACAATTGCGAGCGATAAATAATTCATCGATCGAATTACGTTCCGACCGGGAGCGAAATCCGATTCGGTCCTATCAGCGAGAGGCGAAAATTGAGAAGCATCGAGGGAGATATTTCTTTCGAACATGTAAAATTTCCGGGGTAAACGTGGACGCAAAATTGACCACGGGTTAGCCCTTTCTAAAGGAGTAGTCGGCAAGATCGTAGCGTTCGAGATTTAGAACTCGCGAGAATGCGGAAATACTTGTGGCATCAGAATTTAGCGGACTCGTTGAGCGTTTCTACTATTAGAGTTTCAGTATTCCTTACTGGAGTGACGCAAACTCCGCAAACCGGAATTCGCCGTAATTATCAATAGCGTTTCCTTTTCCCACTGAAGTTCAGCAGTCGAGTTACTTTCGTATCTCGGAATTAGCATATCTTCCCCTAGAAATCGAGGAAACGACGCTGTATCTCGACCTAGAAATCATAGGGATATCGCTGCAGCGCGTGGTTTGAAATAAAAGAAATATTTGCTCGTTTGAAAAGTTATATCAGCCACTTCCCGGATGCCGAAGTAGAAAAATAGAGTCGAGCTGAATTGCCGCGAATCTGACAAACGAATGCGATCCTAGCCAAACGAAAATCGCCTAACCGGACAGGGTAGGGTTAACAATAGCGAGATCCCGCTTTCAGAAAATGGCCGCCTCGAGTTCAGCCACTTATTAACGCGAGTACAGTGTACATCGGGCTCATTACGATCCACGTTCACGAAAGTGGTGCACTTAAACGGCACGTTATGTAAGGTCCGGTTAAAATAGCTCACGCGAACCGAACTTTCCGTGGTCCGATCAAATCGAGCTGAATTTAGGTGGTAGCCGAACCTACCAGAAACGTTCTAGGAAACGATACCTTACCCGTGCTTTCCGGCAGACCAAAACTAAAATGGCGGAACACGATGGCCCCGTTCGATGAGAGCCAGCCTGTTCAGGTTAATCTGACCTACGTTAAACGCGAAACGGACGTATTATGCGTTAGCTATGCTTACAACTGGCCAATCATGCCACCAATTGCGGTGAAATCGTTTGCGGTTCTGGTTAAACTAATACGATCCCGTGATTAGGAATCATCCTTTCACGCTCCACTCGCCTTTCGTATTCTCGGCGTCTCTGTTCGGCAGCGAGACGTTTGCGAAATTCGGAAAAAGACCAAACACGACAGAGTTCGATCTAAAAATATTGGCAAACTGGCTGAGACTCGGTCGCGAGAACGTCTAATTCGAACGAAACAACGATACGCTAGGATGCTAATTAGCGTCTAGACAATTGACGTTCCAGATGGACAACAGCTGGACAATTAAAGCTTATGTAATCGATACGCGAGTGGTTAATCTCCGCAACATCTGGACAATGTGTACCAGAGAATATTCGCCGTTCATTAGCCTAATCCACCGAGAGAACACTCGTCCAACCTTTGACTAACCGACGATAGACCTTCTCGCGAATCGTCTAAATTGCAAAGATCAACCGGTACCGGCGGTCAAACGTGAGCGTTTAAAATTAACACGGACTCGGTCGACTCGCGTGAGACTGAATGAAAAATACCCAAGACTTCCCGGAATTGTTAGCGATTTTCTAACTCCTCGTGTAATCTCGAAGGGGAAACTTACCGCGGACACGAGTGTCCGAAGCGATAGTTAAATATAACGCGATTTAATCCGCGAGAAAAGTACCAAAACGCTTCAATGCTTATGGTTTGTTCGCAGTGCTGCGAGAGACAGTCGACGACCGATGGAAACCAAGACGAGAGCACCTACGGTGCACTTTCCTGCCCCGTCACGCCGAACTCTGGCCCTGGACCACCTCCGACCTACGACAGCCTGATCTTCGATCCGAAGAGCTTACCCAATTGCATCGACAAGAAAGCCGAAGGCGCAGACACACCTGGAACCATCATTCCTTCCATGGTGTCCACGTTGCTGAGCCTGAGCACGACCGTGAGACCCACGGAATGTAACGAGGTCGCAGAGCAAGAAACCTCCGACGAAGGATTGCCTTCTTACGAGGCTGCCTTAAAGCTAGACGCGAGTGGCTACGTCTAGCACGTGACCGACACGCCTCTGATCTCGAAGAATTTTACGATTCCCCGAGTCCATCGCGTTTCTTCCCGCGTCCTTCTTCGGACAGAGATCGGAAGAGCGAGAATGTT